AAAGCATATGAATGGACGACAACATTGAAAAGCTGTAAGAAGTTGGTTATCACAAGCTCCTCCATGGCTTCAGGCTTACATGAGTAGCGCTAGATTACCAAAATATTTTATATGCAATTATGCCACTGCTTAGCGTCTACTGCATTAAACTCTTCACAGTCACACAGGTATACCATGACAGTCAGGAGTTTAACCGTGGTCGTCTCAGAATTAACAAATTTTTAACCGAGTTCACGCGTCAATCAGTTTGATGGACAGACGCCAGCCGCAAAGATCGGGTTCGTCCAGCCATGGCCGGGCTGCCCGCCACGGTGGTCTAGTGGCTAAGGCACTCGGCTGCTGACCTCGGTCACGGGATCGGCTCCCGGCTGCGGCGACTGCATTTTCGATAGAGGCGAAAACGCTGTAGGCCGTGTGCTCAGATTTGGTTGCATGTTAAAGATCCTTAGGTCGTCTAAATTTCTGGAGCCCCCCACTACGGCGTCCCTCATAATCATATAGTAGTTTTGGGACGCTAAACAGTATCAGTCTATCATCGCATTCGGGTCTATATACCGGTAGAGGCAACCATCTGTTAGAGAAAACTTCTGTGTCGTGGGGTATTTCAGTTAGTTTGCGTTCATTATTGCCTAAAGAGAAAAATCTACGGCTGCTTTATGAGTTGATTGTGAAAGACAAAAAAATGTTAAGTTATGAATCAAACTGACAGAACAACTTTACTTTTTCGATATGACATAATAGGAGTTGGGCAAACAGAACGAGGCATAACTTCACAAGGCAAATGCGGGCTTTACAAAATTTGTCACTTGCAAACAGGCATTGTTTTTAAGGCAATTAATATTGGGAAATACCTACATATCCTTAAAAGATGAAAACGCAAGAATAACGAGTAATAAAATTTTTTTACAACGTTTATGGACCTCTACGTATACGTTACTCGTCGTGCGGACACAGTGCATGCAAGTGAAAGAGCAGCCGAAGACCACGCTGTCATTGTGCCATCTATAGAAGTATTTACTTTGACATTTTATTTAACCCTAAATTATCGAGAGCATCGAACGCAATAGGCACTTTCACAACAGGGTACGCAAGTTTCAGCGTTAGATAATTCCTGATCAGCCCGAGAAGTGAAGAGCGTGCATAGTTGTGCTCGGAGCTGTAATCAAATCTGCCTGTACTTTTTATGGTACAATGGTACAATGGGATGACGATAGTTATAGCGCGACAACAAAACGACGACACAGAGACAAGAAGGCCACGAAAGACACGAAAGACACGAAAGTCTGTCTCGTCGTTTTGTTCTCGCGCTATAACTATCGTCATGCCATACCAACTAGCCCATGCTGCCACACTTCTAAGGTACAATTGGACATCGTGACAGCACATACGTAGCTAATGCGCTGCCATGCCTCAGATATTGAATCAGTTGTTTTTTTAAGGAATAATGTTTTTTTTTGGAGGGGAGGGGGGTATTCGAAACCCTCAAGGCTGCGACAGATGCTGCTGTGAATATGCGATAGCCTGTTAAGGCTTTCAATATCACTTCTGACCCAAACATAGATACTTAGGAGGCGAAAGTGAATGACAATGGTGTGGAGGGGGCTCTCTGAAATAAGGTAAAAATATGAAAACAAATAAACTAGGATATATAGTTTCTCTTTTGATAGTGGAAACATTTTCGCTTCGTAAAGTCCAAAGACGAAATCATGGTTGCTATGCTGCCGAACGACAACACAGTAGTTTCCATGTTCTGTAACTAGGTGGCCATCCACTGAAAAAAGAAGAAACGTAGTGACATTGCCAACTCTCCTCAGCATTAGAAACACTAGATCATTTCTTTTTATTCTGTCACCGATATTCTCATCAAAGGAAAAGATACTTGGTCGAACGAATTGAGAAGCCAGGCTTAAAAATAAACCTGGCAGTAATTTTATCCTTTGGAGGAATTTTATTAGGTATTAGCCACAGGGAGGTTTGCTCTTCCGTATGTGCGTACATAATGGCAACAAGAAGATTACCTTGTTAGTCTATTGTTATTAGTATTTTCGGCTCCGAGACTCCCTGAGTGCCTGACCGCTAGCTCGTGTATCATTTTCATACATTTTTCACGATTTGTTTTGCTTTATACTGAAATCCTATTTAAAGATTTTAAATGCATAACTAAATAACTTGATGATCCTGCCACCCGGTTCTTGGCCGATCCCCCTTTGTGGGCGAGTGCCAGCAAAGCAAAAAGGCTCATCATCATGATCATTATTATTATTATTATTATTATTATTATTATTATTATTATTATTATTATTATTATTATTATTATTATTATTATTATTATTATTATTATTATTATTATTATTATTATTATTATTATTATTATTATCATCTTAAACAGCTGCACGGAAAGGGCTGGGGTCTACGACCGTGCTGCGAGTAACTGCAGATCTTTTATCCGCCAGAAAAAGTGGTACAGACCTACATATACCGAGATGATAGAAATGGCCGCATACAATGCATACGGGACCAGCATGCCATGCATACAGGTTTCAGCAGAACACCTGTGTGTTAACTATTGTCCTTCACTCGCATACTAGCAGGACACTCACTTGGTGTTGTATAGCCTAACAGAAATGTCAAGAGATTCCTATAGTGTCCGCTGGCTTTCTAGGACTATATTCATACCGACATTTTCAAAATCTTGAAAAACAGTGCAAGTATTCCACAATACGTTGAAATAGCGTTGCAAGAAGCGTGACGTTATGTTTTCGTAAAGCGCTGATGTTTCTATAAGCTGTATGGGACAAGACGACCTTGGTATTCGTTTGGTGAGGGCCTATAGCGTGCTCTCCATTATTTCAATTCCCCAGCATTTCGAATGCTATCTCGACCTTTTCTAAATGGCTTTTCTAAAGTACCATGTCATAACTTCTGCCACAACCATTTAAAGTTTATAAAAACTTTGCACATGTTGCCTATTGCATGTAAATAAATGTGCTAAGTCTCAATGAAATACTACCAGTGCGTCTTTCGTGGTCCTTAAATGGGCTAAATTTTAGTGGACGAGGGCAGATTAGTGGGATTTTCCCGATTTCTATGCCACGTGTGATGATGCTACAGCTTTTCGCGCACATTTGTACACGCCGCCGTTTTTACGTACTGCCTAAAAATATTCACTATATACAAAGAAATTTTCGCGAAAGGCTGTGTACTGCTAGCATGGCTTAGAAGAAGACGAAGAAGCGTCATCCATGCGCGTGCATCCTTTCCGTGTATACAAAGAGAAGGAAGAAGCAGAGAATTCGGTATCTGTGTTCGCCCACCTCAGCTGAGACATGAGTGTTTCTTCTCCTCATGGAACCGCCGGTGAGAGTTGATCGAGCGTATTAATTGTACTTAGCTGCTGATGCCGTGCTTAATTATATGTGCTTAATAAAATTCTAAGGTTCGCTAAAAGAGAATCAATGGCTTCACTTCAGGTGCTCTGTGAAGCAACCCTTACGTTTTTGCAGCTTATGAAGTTGTGCGCCGGCCGCTGCTCTTTTTTTTTCTTGTGAATATTTTTAAATGTGAAAGTGCAGCGTGACATCCAAGCAGTTGTTATTCGATGTATATGCGACAAAAAAACTCGTGTTATTTTTGTTGCAGATTTTTATCGCAGATTTTTGTCGCAAAAAAAAACAAAGCGAATAGCTCGTGTTTCTCAGGATGGAAACCTTGAAAATTTAGCGTCAGGATATTCACCACGCAACAAGCACTGAAGGCGGCGATGCCAAATAGATGGCAGAAGTTTCCTCGAACAGAAAACTCTCAAAGTCTACTGCATTAAAATATATTTCAAAGCCACCTCATTGTATCAGTTTTCACAGTGGCTAGATTTTAGCTTTTTATTAAATGTTCTTGACTTTTTAAAGCCAACACACTAAGCTTGAAGCCTTCCGGCTCTGTATTTTTTTTTTCTTTCATGTGAAATGCCTTTGTGCACTTTTATTTGCTTTTCACTGCCAGATATGCACACTATATGCATTATCATACTCATGAAAGTAGTTATTTTGACAAAGTTTGCATCTATCTGTTCCTTTCTAGCTTCAGGGAAATCATCTGCAACTGGAACAGTTGACGAGGGCATACCGCCAGAGCTACAAGAAGTCTTTGAGTAAGTAATAGTAATAACTTGTGAGGTATAACGTCCCAAACTCATGATATGCTTGGGAGATGCTGTATAAAGAAGAGCTCGGGGAATTTATACCACTCGGGTTATAAACACGCGTCTAAATTGATGCACGGGAAACCTTGAAAATTGGCATTATTCGAACTGTGGCTAGCTTCGGGCCTGTATTCACATAAAAGCTTTTTTTAATTGAAAATATTTGTTACTGAATATTTTAGCTGATCACGAAACAACACATATCAGAGAAGCAGGCTTGCCATCAGGAAAACGCAGTTACGAAAAAAAGTTTTGTGAACTCGATTCTTCTTTTGTATGTTCAATGACGCTGCTGCATAAGCATTATTGATAGAAGTGTCCATCATTATTTCCGCAATAGGACTACTTGATAAATGCACCAATATTTGTGTGAAAGCTTTTCATTTCGGTGTTTCTCGTTTTTATGTTATCGTGTTCGGATGTGAAACCCCAACGAGAGTTATTACACTATACTGTTGTTAAATTTACTTGATAATAAAATAAAATAAACCTCTGCTAGAAAATACAAACGTTGGTACTAACCGTGCTTACTATTAAAGTCACACTCATACAGAAAAGCAAAAGTACTCTTTATTACCACCGGCGTCGTGTACAGTGGCCACTTTTATATTGTTCCGAAGCTAGTGTGGTGGGATAAATAGGACAATGAAAAAAGTAGTCATGTCAAATTTCCTTCGAAAATTCATCTGCAACGTATAGATTGGAAGAAAACTTATATTTGAATTGGTATTCTGTGCACATAAACTGCACTTTTTTAAAACTTATTCTATGGTTTTATGCTGGCACGTGTACCCACATGCAGCATCATCGAGGAAATCACTGGCCAGATGGTCACGTGGCTAAAGAACTTGGTTGCCATCCCCAGTGTGTCAGCCGAAAAAGAACACCACAAGGACATCGTGCGTGCCATCAAAGAAACCAGCACGGTAACAAACTAAGCAGAAAATGCTCCATGCTTATAGAGATAACTTGCTTTTTTGTATTTTATTCTCCTACATGTAAGAACTTTCTGCGAGCATTTGAAAAATTGAACGCAAGTTCAGCCCACTCTCTTTAGTTTCGGTATTTTCATTCACAGATCATTTATTCACCAATACGCTGAGGAGTTGAAACTGTTCTCACGTTGGTTAGTGCCTGTTCATTCATGAACAAATTTGCCACATTCTCAGCTTATTTTACCCGACGGTCAAAGAGAATTCTATTTATCCATGTTTCAACGGCTGAAATGATGAAGCCTCATCAACATACTTCCCCTTTTTTGAAGCCTTCAAGTGAAAACCAGCAAAATAACGTTTTGTCCTCTCATTATACAATTTATGAGAGAGGCTTACATGCCTCGGTAAACGCGACAATAGACTACCGATGATGTCGGCGTCAATACGAGTGATACACAAAATCATGAAGGCGTGATGAAGTCACCATATGACGTCCTCATTACAGCACAGATCACCAAAATATCTGATGTTATCATGAAGTATGACGTTTTATAAACTTACGTCACATAATGACATCATCACGTGGCGTCGTCGCTTAGTAAAACATTGGCTAATCACCGAGGCATTACAAAAACAGGTGAGGTGCAGAAACCGCGGCATCATTACGATCCTAGAAGCAGTGCAAAACTGCGTCAATTGCAGATGGCTTTCGACGGGGTAGGGGGAGGATCAACACTCAGACCGAGAAGAAGATAGCCTTCGATCGCCTCCGAGTAGTCTTGGAAGAATGCGCAACAGGCCGTGGGAACTTTGTGTTGCGTGGGCTTCACTGGCCGAGGTTGAACAGTTTCACGTTGCTTGCGGTTAGTGGTGCTGCGCATGCGCCAGGACCTGTGAATGCGCGCGCCTCATCTATTTGCGCATTTCAGAGGAGTGACGTCATAGCTGCGGCAGACGCATTTTGACTGTACCGCTTGGCTCGTCAACTTCGAGCCACGCTGCTTTCATCCACTAACGTGCCTGCCGTGGCACTACATACTTTGAGCGGTGCGTTTGCCAATACGTTGTACCTATGAAGAAGCAGAGTGACATTGCTGCCCAGCGTCGCGAAAGAGCGGGGAAGCTTAACTCATCGGATCCCGAAGTAGTTGCCGGCCAATTAGCGGTTGAGCGGAGGAAGAATGAAAGCTAAGCGGGCTACGGAGACACTGGAAAAGCGGCCAGGAGGCTTAGTGAAGTGTCCGACCAACACAGAAGCAGCAACAACATAACGCCGTAGATTAATTGATTGATTTTATTGATTGATATGTGGGGTTTAACCACCATATAATTATGAGAGACGCCGTAGTGGAGGGCTCCGGAAATTTCGTCCACCTGGGGTTCTTTAACGTGCACCCAAATCCGAGCACACGGGCCTACAGCATTTCCTCCTCCATCGGAAATGCAGCCGCCACAGCCGGGATTCGAACCCGCGACCTGCGGGTCAGCAGCCGTGTACCTTAGCCACTAGACCACCACGACGGGGCATAACGCCGTAGATGAGATCAAGGCTTACACATTGGCTCAATATACGGTGAAACTTAACAATAGCGTCAGTGTGACTCGGACTTTCCAGACTGATTTCCAGAATAATCGGTTTGGATATGTGTACGACGCTTATGAAATATTGCGGCACATGAAAGTGAAGGCGGCAAGTATGGTGTCAAGTCTGAAACGTTCAGTTTCGCTGTGCCACCTTGCCTCATGTTTTGTATATTCTGGCATGGCCGAGCTTAGCTACTGCTAATTGTTATCTTTTTTTGTTTACCCCACAGATGTCATAAAACGACAAGATTGAGATCAGGGTCAATCGGATGGAGGCGGAAATGTTGTAGGCCATTGTGCTCAGATTTGAGTGCACGTTAAAGAACCCCAGGTGGTCGAAATTTCCGGAGCCCTCCACTACGGCGTCTCTCATAATCATATGGTGGTTTTGGGACGTTAAACCCCACAAATCCAATCAGGGTCAATCGGTTCACAACGTTAAAAAAATGAATCACTCAAAAGCACGATGGAGGAAAGAATGAAGTGAAGTACACAGCGACTGGCCACGTTTCTTTTTTTTTCCATCGTTTTTTTTTTTACTGTTTGATTCGTTCATCGCATAACGTCTTTGGCCGTGAACAAAAAGTGTCTACCCAACAGAAAAGTCAACCCTTTTTCTTTTTCGCTGACTCGCAGATACTGCAAGAACAAGGTGCCCACGTGACTGAAGTTTCCCTAGGCGACCAGCAGCTGTCGGACGGAAGCAAGGTTTCGTTGCCACCACTACTGCTGGCCACAACGGGCCAAGAAGCCGCCAAGAAGACTCTATGCGTCTACGGGCACCTGGACGTCTATCCCGCACGAAAGGTAATGGTATATGAACTAGCGAAAACTGAAACGTATGTGATTTGTATTGCTCCTTCAAATTGTTATGACTTTGATTTTGAGGCTTGCGGCATCTTATTTCTGTGCGCCGTTTTTCGATAATTCTCTCTCTATTCTAGTTTTGTCGGCCATCAGTAGTTTCTGATATTTCATAAGTCAATCTGATATTTTATCGTGGTCGCTTTTCATTTCGCAATGCTACATTTTATTGCTGCCTGAAATATGAACACAAGACTGTCGTTGTTTTCTACGGCTGCAGAAGTGCACCACTGCTAATTATGTGGGAGACGGAGAATGGTCAATGCCTGTAATGAAGGAAGAAAAGGATGAGAAGGAAGCATGTAGCAATGTGATGAAAAGAGAAGGACCAAAGTATTTAGTCAGGCACGCAAAAACACAAGTCAACGAATTGACTCATGAGTCGACTCACGAGATTCATTCATGCTCAGATTGAGCCGTGGGTCTGAGCCTGAGTGAAACCTAGTGAGTAATTTTTTGGTCATGAATACTACCCAATACTTCTTTCAGTGGTTGCCAAACCGAGCGATACATGTTAGCCTTAAGGGACCTTTAGTGGCACCGCTGAGCCACTGAAATACGTTATTAAATTTTTATGCAAGTGATCACTATGAAAACAAAATGACCCCGTATCTGCATGTTTCACCACAATTGTCGTCAAAAGAGAATAGTCTTGCGTCTGGACAGAGTGAGCAAAACGTTTCTTTGATGTTCTGCGCAAAAAATTGCCTGCAGCTTCCCTCGGGGGAACACTGAGGAGGATGCGGAGCATATAATTGGTTAACGGGGTGTTAATTGGGCGTGGCATACTGCTTGGCGCGCCACGCCGCTACCTCGGCGCGCTTGCGCTCGCGGGCAGCATCGGGATGGGCCTCTCGTCGCCGACGCTTGCACTCGGCTTCCCGTTTTTGAAAGTCCGGGTCCTCTTGTCGACGCTTACGTTTCAAAGCGGCCGAATCCGGTGCTGCTGCTCGACGCTGACGTCTCTCAGCGGCTTCACGTTCTCTAAGTTGAGAATCTTCCGCTCGACGCCGACGTTTACGTTCGGCGTCGCGAGCTCTTCTCCGCGCTGCCTTGTCTTCGGACGACGACTTGTTTGCGGTTCCGCCAACACTTTGGCCGGCGCTGGTCGAAGGGACGTCGATCATTGCGACCTCGGACGTCGACGCGCCGTACAAACCAACCGACGAGCGGCAACTGAGCGAGCGAGCACCGACCTTGAGTATATAAACAGCGCGACGGCGCATGCACTGTCAGCTGTCGAATGTTCGAGAAGGGGGAGAAGCGCAACGGCGCATGCGCGCGCGTCAGCTGCCGATGTTCTCGAAGCGCGACGGCGCATGCGCGCGCGTCAGCTGCCGATGTTCTCGAAGCGTGACGGCGCATGCGCGCTACATTATACAGCTAGCGAATGTTCGTGAAGAGGAGAAGCGCACGCGGTGTGTAGAGGAGGAAGGGTGCACAGATGGTGGAGGAGTGAAGCGCGCGCGGTGTGTAGAGGAGGAAGGGATGCACAGATGGTGGAAGAAGGAGGAGGAAGCTTGCGGACGGCGCCGCGCTACAAGCCTCGAGTATTAGATGCTCCGAGCTAAAAAAATGGTGAATTGTATTCCTGAGGCGCAGTGTTAGAGTGTGTCTATTCATGCAGCGAAGGCGAACGAGCGCTACCAGGTACGTAAACACAAGCGCTATCTGGTAGCTATCTTCGAAAATGAAGGAAGGCGTGCGCACCTGTCTCGGAGGCGATAAAGTGTAGAACGCAAAGCGACGGGCAGGTGCCACCACCATGTCGTCTTAGCAGAGCGTTGCAAACACTTGCCCTTTTCTTCATCGCGTTGCATTGTCAGCGCAGCGTGATGAACGCTACAGTCCTTAGAATCACTTATGTATGCCTTCCCTACTGTAAAGACGCACATACAGAATATTGGCTTGTTGTTGTGGTACCTCAGATATGCGCAATAATTGCTTTTAGATGCGGAGCATCTAATACTCGAGGCTTGTAGTGCGGCGCCGTCCGCAAGCTTCCTCCTCCTTCTTCCACCATCTGTGCATCCCTTCCTCCTCTACACACCGCGCGCGCTTCACTCTTCCACCATCTGTGCACCCTTCCTCCTCTACACACCGCGTGCGCTTCTCCTCTTCACGAACATTCGCTAGCTGCATAATGTAGCGCGCATGCGCCGTCACGCTTCGAGAACATCGGCAGCTGACGAGCGCGCATGAGCCGTTGCGCTTCGAGAACATCGACAGCTGACGCGCGCGCATGCGCCGTTGCGCTTCTGCCCCTTCTCGAACATTCGACAGCTGACAGTGCATGCGCCGTCGCGCTGTATATATACTCAAGGTTGGCGCTCGCTCGCTCAGCTGCCGCTCGTCGGTTGGTTTGTACGGCGCGTCGACGTCCACGGCACGAACATTCGCTAGCTGTATAATATAGCGCGCATGCGCCGTCACGCTTCGAGAACATCGGCAGCTGACGCGCGCGCATGCGCCGTTGCGCTTCTCCCCCTTCTCGAACATTCGACAGCTGACAGTGCATGCGTCGTCGCGCTGTATATATACTCAAGGTCGGTGCTCGCTCGCTCAGTTGCCGCTCGTCGGTTGGTTTGTACGGCGCGTCGACGTCCGAGGTCGCAATGATCGACGTCCCTTCGACCAGCGCCGACCAGTGTTGGCGGAACCGCTCAAAGTTCGTCGCAATGAATAAACACCGCCCTTTCGCATACGTGTCGTACGTGTTCACTCATTTAACACCCCTCCTACAACCACGTTAACCAATTTAGCCAGCGACCCAAGTAAGTCGCAATTTAACACCCCATTTCACAACCACGTTAACCAATTCAGCCATCGACCCAAGTAAGTCGCACTTTAACACCCATTTAACCAATTATATGCTCCGCATCCTCCTCAGTGTTCCCCCGAGGGAAGCTGCGGGCAATTTTTTTTTTTAATTGACCATCACGCAAGTGTGAACGCTTAAACTTGAACAATATTGGGTGGTGCTGCGGATGGGGGTGGTCTTCAGGAGTATCGTTCATAGCCGTTTGGGATATCGTTATGGCGTACAAACTGATGTATGTGCAGACAGACAGACGAACCATAACTTTTGTATCGAAGTACCCCAAAAAAAATTGTCGTCTGTATTAAATCCAATTATACTCACTTGACAGGAGGACGGATGGACGGCGGATCCGTTTTTTCCGACGGAGCAAGACGGCCGACTCCGCGCAAGAGGCACAGCGTCTGCAAAGGGTCCCTTGATTGCATGGATAGGGGCTCTGTATGCTTTCCGCAAAAGCACCGAAAAAGCTACGCCCGTCAATCTCAAAGTGAGAGCCCAATCGGGAGAATTTCGCCTGCGCTGACTCTGAACAATTCGCAATTGAAAATGTGAATACCCGTAGTTTTATAATGCCCAAAAATTGAATAAATTCCATTTGTAATTGCACATATAACTTGGAAGTGTGGCAGTTTGGACTAGTTGGCATGACATCACGATATTTATAGCGCGAGAACAGAATGACGACCAAGACGTGTCCTTCTTGTCTCTGTTGTCGTTCTGTTTTCGCGCTATAACTATCGTGATGCACATATAAATTTTACATTAGGCCAAGTTTTGTTTCATCAGCTTTCTCCATTCCTTTGAGGTCTGCATTACTGAATGCTGCAGTAAAAGTTTGCTTTGTTCTTGCAAAAATTGTAGTACTTTTACAGGTAATGCTAAATTGATTGTTCAGAAGGATAAAATTATCACGGGACGACTAACAAGACATTTGAAACTGATTTTATTTCAACACCGCACAGAGCTCGTGGTACATAGGTACGAACTCTTGACATGGTTTTACCAACCGAGTCAACACACATACATTGGTTTGGTTCCCAGAGGCCAACTTAGTGTCAAAGCCTCTGCATATCTTTTTAACTCTCAAGAGAAAGTATGGAGAGGGAACTCTCGAACGTTTATGTCACAGACGCCAGCAGCTGCTGCTGGATTCCTTGCGTAAAGGGCATTAGAGGGGGTACGTGCTTCGTTCATGGCATGTCTTTTTTTGTATTTGTTTTTTTTTACTGGCGTGTGCATTGAAGCATTCGTGCTCATATGCAGTTCCTGATCGACAGCATGAAAGAAGTTGGCTCTCAAGGATTGGATTCCTACTTGGCGGAAAACGCGAAAGAGGACTTCTTCAGAGGCATACATTTTGTTTGCATAGCCGATGGCTTCTGGCTGAGCCCATGCACACCTTCCGTCAGCTATGGCCTAAGGTAAAGAATAGCACTTGCTTTCGGTTCACTTGTTTTTATTTTTGCGGGAAAAACATGGAAAAGGCTCCTTTGAACCACTAAATGTTCAAAGACGAGAAAGTAATTACTTTCTCTTACTTCTATTTTTCCAACTGGCGCTAATTCTTCCTCACACCTTATTTCTTCACAAAACACGTGGGCAGTGTCAGTACTAAGGCGACTACCAATTCGGACTTCGCGCTTTTCGGCTGCACGCTGTTATCTGCGATTACGCTGTCAAAACGCGCATAATCAGGAGAAATCAGTTGATCGCTCACGATAGTCCTGCGAGACCAAGGAGAAATGGCGTGTGATTGCACGGTGAAACAGGGTAAAGACAATTCTCGGCTTGAATAGTATAACGACCATTTGAGAACTCATTTTCTCGTGACGTCACGCCAACAGAGTGCTGGAATTGCGAATTGTATCGAAAAGACGATAAACGCCCGGAGAGACTAACTTGCATGTTCGTATTTTCGGGGCACCCTTTAACGTTTTCGAAATCTTTGTCACGACTTCGTGGCTCAAGGCATCTCAGTGCATGTTTTGCTTCGACGGTGTTTAATGCAGTGTCGTCAGCTTGAAGAACTCAAGGTTCTTTTAGAGTGAACTTGTAATAGAATTTTCAAATTATTCCTGCTTCACATAGTTTACACTGTCGTACCAGCATGTCACCCCAATCGTTGATATTATTTTTACAACTTAACGGACATTAATAAAACCGATAAGTATTTTTACTCCTTGACTTTTCAGGGGATGGTGTTCCTTCAACGTGGAGATAACGCCCGCTCAATCAGATCTTGAATCTGGTGCTGATGGTGGAGCACTGTGAGTCATGCACATATTGTTCACGAAAGAGCAGCTCATGACAATCTACGAGCTTTTGCAAAGGTGCAGCCTTAGCTGCCATTTGGCAACGTTACTGGAAAACTGGTGCCATACATACAATATATTTACGAATATACCTTTAAAAGACGAGTGCGATGCCCATGGGAAGGTCGATTAGTGTCACTTTACGCAAAAACAACTGTGTGTAAACCACGCATTGAGTCCCTTAGAACTAAATGTCCCTCTTTTAGCAATATTTACAGAATGAGCATGTTCAAGACAACTGATATAATTGCTACGAAAGGTCTTAAAAAAAAAACTTTCTCCAATTGTTCTGGCAACAAAAGCAGGAGCCGTTCGAGGCGGTAATGTTCTCACTGGCTGGTAGCCACTGTCTTTCTGTGTTTTGCGGCAGATAACAATACCGGTTCCAACAAACAACGGTGTGAGCGTGGTCGAAGTAGATGTCAGCACGCCACTTCAGCTGTTTTAGTTTTTTATTGAAGATTTGTATTTTGTATAGGACAGGCTTCCGCAATTTCTAACTTTTTGTAGCACACATATATTTCAATGCCGTTAGCATAGCACGTACAATGCATAACGCCAAACAGTCATAGTCATACCGCATTTTTTCGAAAAACGCGGTTTGACTATGACTGTGTTTGACTATGACCACGTTGACGGTATGACTATGACCGCGTTCGAAGAACGCCATTGACGTATACGCCAGGAAGGGCGTTCTGTTCAATATAGCTGGTGATATATTTTCGAAATAAGACCGAAACGATGTTTACATGTGCACGTTGCATCACGTGCTCTAATGAAGCGTAGCAGTCGAAACTAACATGGAAACCTACCCAACCACTGTGACCGTCGTAGCCAAATATCCGCATAGATGTATGAAGCCCACACTCTAAGAAAAATGAAGTAAAGGTGTTACTGTTTTAAGATCGTACTTTCAAGGTATCCAGTGTTCTTAAAAAAAACAACACGTTGACTATCTTCGGTGTCCCACAACTTTCCGACAAAACGATAATACCTTCCAAAGAGAGTTCACGTGTACCTTCCAGGAGCGTCATATGTGTGGTGAGGCGGGAATCACTACACAAGTTAGCCTAAAGACTTATCTTGTTTTAAAGCGAAAGCTGTTATGAGATAACAGCAAGGGCCGTGTGCGGTGCCGTAATGGTCCACCGCCACTCTCCGCAACCACTATCGCACAAAACAAGAACACAGCGGGATTCGTACCCACGTCCACTTAGTGCCAGCCCCGCAATCTTCAGGAGAGCTATGCCGGCGCTTGAAACTCTGTTGAAAACTTGCATTAGGCAGGCTTGATGTCGGGAAAAGAATCGCATTAGTAGAAGCAATAAAGCGTTCTAGAACAGCAATTGAGCAACCAGGCGTCACACAATGCGAAGTGCGTAACGACCGGGTCTTTCAATGCTCCAACCCATTACAAAAGCTTGTTCATCATCACCTATTTTCTGTGGGGCATGCCCACTTCCGGAATTATTTTTTATCGTCATCCAGCACTTCATGAAAAAAAAATTTGCGCAAAAAATTTGCAAGTGTGCAGTGGATACCACGCTTCTTCGAAGAATGACGAAGAATACGATATGGAATGTCGGCGTACTACACGAAAAATTTGAATATTTATGGCGTGGTGTATACCTAACAAGTGTGCTTGTAGCATACGCAAGGAGTATTTAAAAATGCCCTGAAAAGTCGCTCTTCCAGCTTTCGCTGTGGCTGTACTGTACGTCTTATGGTGGCCTGGCGACTTTTTCGTCTTTGTTTTTAGGGCAGTGAGATATCCTAGTGCTTACTAACATCGATAGTTGCATACTCATGTCACTACCGTTTCTACCACCATGCAGCTTTCGCTCCTGGTAGCTGCTCCTCGCCTGGCGCGCACCTGTGTCGCACCGTTTAGAATAATATTGGTAGAGTGGGAACAATGCAAGTCGTTCCACATAACGTTAATACTTCTCTGACCACTGTAATGATTATGTTTGTTGGCACGTTTGCCCAGGCACGAGCCGATGGCGGACGTTGTCTTCCTACTGGACAGTCTAATGGGCGCCCGCGGTCACGTCTCCGTAGAAGGCTTCCACGATGACGTGGCCCCAATCACGGACACTGAGTGGAAATTATACGAGCACGTGGACTTTGATACGGTAGGTACCACTGCACTTGTGCAAGGAACCCGCGTGTAGCGAGGAGAGATGAACCCTGTGCATATTGTGGCAGAACAGCGTGAAACGCGAGATGGTGATCTCACAGGACACAGCGCCGACTAAGTCCCGTGTGTCCAACATCCCGTACATCCCGCCATCCTATCACAACATTCGTATACCAACTAGCCCAACCAACAAACATTCTGTCCTACACATTATAATTCCATATACTGTTCATAAAAATATCTAGCCCTGGAGGCGGAAATGTTGTAGGCCCGTGTGCTCAGATTTGGGTGCACGTTAAAGAACCCAAGGTGGTCGAATTTTTTTGGATCCCTCCACTATGGCATCTCTCATAATCAAATGGTGGTTTTGGAATGTTAAATCCCACATATAAATAAAAAATATTTAGCCCGAAGGAGTCACTTGATCCAAAGTCTCGACACGTGTTTTCATCTTCGCCAAGCCCGTTACTGTCTTCAATAAAGCACAATCACTTGTGAGAACATTGACTCCAAAGACAGCCCTGTAAGAAGATGTTTCATCGATTCTTGACTCCTTTCATCGTTTCTTAAATTATCCCCCAGACGATACCATGTTGCGTAGATTAAAGTGGCACTGCCTTCGGTCATTGTCGGAATGGAGGCCACGTGGGTAGATAAGATCTATGACCACTCACCTGCTTTCACGGAATAGGTCAGGCATTCAATGAGCCATATACTAACTTATGAAATCGAAGTCAGAGCGCCGCTTTTTCTGTCTAAATAAGTTGTGTTCTAGCGGCAATTAGTCGGCAGAACACTAGTATTCGTGTAGTAGGGTTAGCTTCCCCGCAATATAGTCATGTTATGTTGTAGTTTACAATCCCACTAACGCGCACGCGCAGTATGTTGTCGAAACCCAAACTTGGATGTCTCGTAAGTGTAACATCAAATCTTCGAGCCGTTTATGTGTTTATGAAAAGACCGTGACGATTTAAGCGTTCCTTTCTTCCAAATGTCGCGCCCTGTACATGACAGTGAAATGAAAGATAGGATGTAATGAATAAATTTGAGCTATACAAGGACCTTTATTGTAAGAAGAATGCCACAAATATCAGAAACAGTTTTGAAGGCCGGCCAGTACGCCTGTTACACGTTGTGGTGCTCGTAAACTGACATAAGAAGGCTCCTGCGCACTAATATGTTTAAGGAACGCATAATATGTCTGACGCAGTGCCTTCGTGCTACTTTTACGCAATTCACGAGTTTGACCAAGCCAACGTTACAAAACTACCCTTTTTAACAGGCGTCTTTTTCTATTAGTAGTATCTGAAGTGTTGTTTTTCAGATGCATCAGTGCACTTTAGCGTTTATTCGAGGGTGAGGGAAAAGTGGAAGAGACCTAATACTACTATACGGACGAAACACTTCCGCTCTGGTATCTCGTCTCCGGTGCAGTTTAAGTTCTCAAACTAATCAGCGTACTGGCTTACTGTAACGATTGTTGAGGCACCTTGGGCATAGAGCATCTTTCCTTTGTTTTTCATGAAACCGGAATCATCTCCAGTGTAATCTAAGGCTTTAATTCCAGATCGAGTACCAGAGTACGCATGACATCCGGCGCATCACCATCGACGACAGGCTGCAACTGCTCATGCGCAAGTGGCGATACCCATCTCTCACCATACATGGTACGCATATAAGAAAGAAGTTGATACAGCGAATAACAGTAGAGTACACTGTAAACACTCTTCCTCTTATTTTTGTTGTTACTATCGTCGTAGCCGTAGTAATGTGCTACAAACGTCCAGAGCAGCATATTGCTGTGCGCTCCTCATGTGTTGATGTTGTAGCATCTAAAAGCCTTACCAATTTCTTGTGGAACTTATAACCCACCACAAGGCAATACTTTACATGTTATCTATGGCCATATAACCCCTCCTTCTTGTTTGACAGTGTATCTGTGCGTGGGCATCACGTGTAATGAGCATTCCATCATTGCATATCCATTATTCTATCTTCCCCAGCGATTCGTTGATGCAGGTTTGGGATTAGCGTGTACACCTAACTTACTTCATTAGCTCTACTGGATATAGAAAGTAAGCTTTGCCTATAAAAACAAGATTTCGGCAAAGATGAAATACATGACGTGAGATCAATATTTAGCCCCATCTGATAATGTCTTTAGATGAACGCAGAACTTGGTCATCACTTCTTTCCAAAGACAATGTATGAAAGAACGAGACATCGCAGTACGTAATTGAACTTTTCGTACTAATTTCCCGTCAGTCAACAAAGGACACATGTCTGTACTATAGATATTGAATCATTTTCTTTATTCAGACAGTGATATGCAGAATTTCACGACGAGTATTAGTTTATCACACAGTCAATACAATCATATTGGAGGTGTCTTCCTCTTGACACTTTCATTTTCGTCGATTGTACACATAGCAGGGCAGACTAAATGTAATGCCTGGATGCAGTGTTCACCCCGAACATACCTCTGGAGCCTAGTAGTGTTATTGTTGTTTGACAGGCATTGAAGGCGCCCACTCGTCTCACGGTGAGAAGACGGTGATCCCGGGTCGCGTGGTTGGAAAGTTTTCCGCATGCACGGTACCCAACCAGACGTGCCAGAAGGTGTGCGACTGCGTCACCAGTCACCTGGAGCGGCAGTTCGCTAAAAGAAACAGCCCCAATGGCTTCAAGTAAGTGCGTGAAACATACCAGCTAAATTGGCCATTTAGTCCAAAAAAATTTATTGAAACTGTAATAAAGCAAACCTTTGTTTTTCTAAAGTACCGCTTCAGTACCTGTGCATTTCAACGCACCTCACATTTCGATATTGTTGGAGTAAAAGCAGTCTCTACATTCTCTTTCTCAAATTTATCGCATCTCGCATATTCGTCATTTTCTTCAGCCTCGTGCATTGCATATACAGCAATCCTGTAATGCCACATCAGGCAGAACTGGCTTTTGGTTACTTTCTTTTAATTATGAGTAATCATTGTGTTCACAAAGCCTGAAAACTGCCACTCGTTTACTGGTTTACCTGCTTTGCAAATACAGCGCCTGAACGTCATCGTAAATTTCCGGCCGCGTGCAGGACGCTGCGAGAAATTTACAATTACGCATCAAGGACAGCTAGAAACCGCTCGCTCCTTTCTCGCCAGATCACGTCATCGACAAACGTGATCTTATGTCTTCCATCAATCGCGTCAGCCATTTGCTCAATATTTGGGGGGGGGCATAGCTGTCGCGGACACCACGGGCTGCCGCCACGTGATGACGCCACAGTCTGCACGTGTGCTAGAGTTACACAGCGGCAATACTACACACTCTTGATCCCACCAGACGTGAATTGACGCATAAAAAAAATCGAATGTTCAAGGTCACAACGCGTTATGACGTAGCTTCTTGCCCTTTGTTGTCCCCGGCGTTCCAAACTGACGATGTCTCTCTGGGTGGCCCCTTCCGCTTTCAGAGTGACCATGACGCAGAGCACCGAGACGTGGTCCAGTCCACCTAAGAGGCCTCACACCAAGGCCACTGTAGCCGCCGTCCGTCACAGTGAGTCATCTTATTGCTGTATAAAATTACAGTTAGCTCACTGCAGCGTCGAAGGTAAATATGCATTATTTAAAAAATTGTTGACTTGTTGCCGCATCTAAACGAAAAGACATTCTCTAACAACATAACACTCGTAGTAAGCGCTCACGCATATTTTGATGTCCACCCATTTCTGCTTTCCACATCAGTTGACATAAACTTAGCAAATGTTTCCACTAAGAGCATTTGAACGAAAATTGAATCTATGGCACAAGCCAACCTTCGAACCTCAAAATATTTCACCTTAAAAGAGTACTGACATAATTGTTATTAGTTATCGTTTTTTTCGTCAATTATTAATCCAAGCCTCCGAGAGCGAAGGAATTGTACCAGTAAAAGGCATGCTTTTAAGTGTTAATTTCAGTTTCTACGGTACCCTGACATTACGACATGGTATGAGCAACGCCACCGGCCGGTAGCATGTGAAAGAGTAAGTTTTCCTGACCTTTTCTCGTACGTGCGTCACTTCAAGTATGGCATCACTTTTAAGCGCACGTTCTTTGTTGACAAGGCGAAGTCGGTACAACTGCATGTTGCTCGTGTATGCATCCGGAGTGAAGTGCTGCGAACAGAGCAAAGTGCATTTAGTTGGCGTCCAAGTCTTCGCTTCGACCGCGGCAAACAAAGTCGACCCATGCTTGTTTCGGTGCCCGATTGGACGGGAATCAGTAGAACTTGCATATATTGTGCCCCGTTTCACTAGCGAAAGCCGGGAAAAATATTGCCGCGATGATAACAAATCAGAAATAAAGCGCTGGCCCTCTGATAAGCGCATTTGATGAATTCACGTCTACGAACAATATTCCAGACTCCGCTTGCTCGCCACATAGGTAAGCTGGATGACAGTGACCACACTACCACACGCTACGAGCAGAAAATCGAGAAGGTGGCGCGAAAGCTGCCATTCTTTGTGTTTTCGTGCTTCTCGTCGTCACAAATAGCCAGAATGCTGCGTGAAGTGACCAGGAATAGTACTGTAGCCTGACGTCACGTTAGTGTCGATGTCGGTGGGTGCGCTGCAAAAAAATTGACTTTCCCATAAAAAACATAACATCTCATTAGCATTTGCGGAGCGTCATATATATACTTGCTAAGAACATTTTCTGGATACCCCAAGTTTGTTTGACAGAGTAAACTCGCCTCTGAACAAAGGTGTCAGTACTCCTTTAAAGGCTTCCGCCAACCTTTGAGACATTAAAGCATTTCGCATTGAAGAAAGTTGCGCTTGTACAGCCTTCATAGTATGTAACCGTGGTGGAGTAAATATCGTGCTCCTCTGCTACGTCTGTCGGCCGAGAGGACATGGGTTCGACTGCTGATCACAGAACTTTTTGACTTCGCGATCTAGTTGTTAGAATTCTTGCGGCGTCATTTCTATGACAGAAATCGTCACTCAAGTCTCGGTGCACCCAAGCACAAAACAATTTCGTGTTAAAAATATCATTTTAACTCTCTAAGTGGGTCCCGACGGGCCACGCATGTGATTCTCTTAAGAGAGGCCCAGCTCTCTTAGATAATTGTTTACTCTTGTCTGGGAGCCGTCGGACTCGATAGAGAGTTAACGTCTCTGTTTAATGAGCGCCACGTACACACACTCTTCTGTTTGTTCTCAATATATATATATATATATATATATATATATATATATATATATAAATAGCAAAAAGTAACAACTAATTGAGGCTGTTGTCGTTCTCTGTCCCTCAGCGTACGGCGTCACACCTGACCTCACACGTGAGGGTGCGACCGTGGTTGCGGCCAACCACCTGTACAAGCACGTGTGCTCCGATATGATCGTGCTCAGCATGACGCCCGGTGGTCGAGGGCTCCACTCGAACGACGAGTACCTCAAAGTCGATGAACTCGTCGCCGGGGTCAGTGGCGTCTTCCAGCACAAAATCAAACGTGCTTCTACCCAACATCTCCTGCATTCAGCATCACTACTTTTTTTTTGCTTAAAATGACACACAATTGTATTAGACTGGTCGCCTGCAGCCACATATTTCTTAGAGGTTCAGGAACGTATAATTAAAGTGCGAAAATTCTACAGCAATTTCGAGCGTTTACTTTTTCATAATGTGCTAGAGAATAACTTCGATTCAGAATAATGTTTTCTATAATTACACGTGAGGAAAATGACGATGACATTCAGCTGCGTGTATGAAGCATGAATTGAGGCCGTAAATGGAGGACGACGCAGTCGACCGCGATAAGAAAAATGATGGGTGTAACCTTAAGAGACCAGAAAAAAAAAAAAACAGGGTGGAACTGAGAACAAATGAGTGTTAAGCCCACCCTAGTCGAGAACAAGAACTTGACATTAGCTGCGCACGCCGCGACAGTACCAACGCATGCCTGCTGCAGGCCTTTCGCCTGCAGTGGACATGGTAAGGCTGATGATAATGTATGCTGTATCCCCCTGTTTGTGAGCAAGCTGTAGTTTCATTGCTGCCTGTCGCCTGCTACGGAATGTGCTAGGCTTAACGTTTTAACTATGCTATTCATATTGAGATGTTCCGTGCACATGTTACTTGCGTCTGAGAATTATCGCTGGGGCAATACTATTCAGCTTCTACAGTATTTGTCAAACCTTGATGCCGTCCCCGCGAGTGGCAGAATCAGTCGCCGAAGAAAGACAGAATGACGGGGTGACCCAGTGGCCGCCGTATTGAATCCTAGCAGTACCAGCCTCAATTTAATGAAGGCTAAATGTTCGAGGCCCATGTGCTCAGATATAGGCAACCGTTCAAAACTCCGGGGTGGTCGAAATTTCCGGAGCCCTTTATGACCACGGGACTCGATATCATACCGTGGTTTCAGCAAGTAAAATCCAAACAAATATAGAAAGAACAAGTGTAACGTGGGCAAAAGGTTTTTCTTTCGCACAAAAGTGTTTTATGCCGGGGTACAACACGGCTCCACTGACGTGATTCTGTCACAAATATTGCGTTGTGATATGTATATAAACAAATCGCGAAAAAACAAGAAAAATTTTCTCATCGGAGCGTCGAACAAGCGACCTCTCTGTCCTCAGTGCACAACGGAAGCCACTAGACCAAAACGCACACTTTGCTTAACTAGTTGACGGCAAGCTAATGATATAACCATATACCATTGCCGATCCTTCAGCGTGTTTTCGTCATACGTAGCGACATGACGCGAGAGTCGCTCGTTGGGAGCACGCGCGCTCTTAAAGATCGAAGTCCCGCACCACCCCACGGGTTACGATGCGTGCGCACCGCCACATGCCGTGGTCAAAGTCAGCACAGATGTTCTCAGGCATGGTTGTTCACTCGCGCGCACACTTATATGGATATTGGGGCGCATGGTATTTCTTGTTCCTCCACCGCGAATTTGCTTTGTAGTTACAGTGGTTAAAGAGAGCATGAAGGTCACTTAGTTGGCTGCCGGGGTCGCGTTTACGAAAGTAGCACGCCGGTCACGCACGAAGAAGTAATAATTGTGTGTGTCCTTGTGCGTTACTCGTGTGTACTTGTGCGTTGGTGCGATTATCTAGATTCATGCATGCCTTCCACCCCGCCGAAGCCGAGGAAGAAGCTACAATACCTCTTACGGTGCCCTCCACGTTCACTACGGTCCTCAGCTACTCGAAAACTGTTATCTGCGATTTCGCTCGCGGTACCGTTGCTCGCGGTACTTCGTGGTTCCTTCAGTCCCTCACCTATTTCGAAGACGAGGATCCGCTTCCCATATATCTCGTGGGTCCCGGTGCACGCGCGAAACCCAGGGAACCAGGCCACCCACCAACAAGCTTCATTAACCGAGTAGTGGGCTGTGCCACGAACCCTGAAAACATCGGTGAACCCCTCCTATCCTCTAACAAAATTGCTCAACACTACCGCCTCGCGCGTCCAAGAAAACCACCACCGCATCTAGAACTCGCAGAACCGCAAGAAATGGCATCACGCCGCCTCAAAACGAACTCGTTCCCGTGCCCGTTGGTATACACACAAATTTATCTCTATCTTCATGACTTCTTTGCGCAAACACGTACACGGACACTAGGAAAAGAGGCAAACAACACGGGCGCCCGTGTTGCGCCCGTGTTGCGCCCGTTTTGCGCCCGTGTTGTTTGCCTCTTTTCCTTGCGTCCGTGTACGTGTTTGCGCAAAGAAGTCATGAATGAGTACCAACTCGCCCAACTTTCAGTACTGTTGTTACCTCTATCTGTTCAGTCGGCATTTGTCACATAGTGGCTCCGTCACCACACTCTTTCATATACAATGAGACCCCCCTGATCTCCTGACCACTCCCTCCTCCGAGGCGTGGGAAAGTTTACTCCGCGATATGAGCCTAGAAGTGCAGCTCCGCGTCATACAATGAGCTGAGGAGGTGGCGGGCACACATGGCTTGACCGCCATTTCTCTGTGAAATTTTCCACTTAAATAAAATTTTCTTTCTCTACGGCGTGTGCTCATTTTGATCGTGCTTTCTGCTTGACTTGCGCCCTGCAAGTTTCAAGCTTCCTGCCATTCTTCGCGTGACACTGCAATTTGGTGATAGCATTCATTCCTTCGAGCTTGGGACGAAACACGGCACAATAAACGCTTTGTGAAGACGCATTTCACTTTCGTGTTATAACGTTTCTTGAAGAAAGGGATCAGCCACGCTTTTTTTTTTCTATGATTTGTGATGTTATGGCAGCTATAATATTCGGGATTCCATTAACGTTTTGTGGGGCAGTTCGACTCAAATGTTCAACTTCTTTTTTTCACAATATCACAGACTTTATCATCAAGACCACTAAATGTATTGCTTTCGTGCTTTTAGTGCAATCTTCTTAACTTTCGGAAAAATGGTTTCGATACTTTTTTGATAGTATTCGCAAGGAGGCAGCAAAGGCTCTTCTTTTAAAGAAACCATTTCAATTGTACTACCTACCATATCCATTATTCATCAAATATTGCCATGCTCTTTGCCAGATTCAGCATAAAAATCGAGCAAAAATCGAACAAACTAGATCGAAAATCGAGCAAACTAGTGCGAAAATGTGCGATTATAGTGGTTCCTTTGTTCTTGCTTATACGCACTAAATATTTTTGCTTTGAAAAACCAACTATTTATTGAAACATTTCCGAGAGCGTGGCCAGTCTAACATTGTGTGCAGCTGATTACAGCATCTAGTTCTGATTCCGTTTCAAGCAAGGAAGCATCTTTCCGTGGAGGAAGCAGTTGGGCTTCCTCCACGGACCAAAATTAGACTGTTGCAGGCGTGACCAGTACACACATTTGGTGCTCGAGTGCCGTTAGCACAAGTTACATTTAGTTGATAACTTTTTGAAAGAGAATTGGTGAATATAGGCTCTGTCCTTTGTTCACGTTGAGGCAGCATCATGTTCATCTAAAAGAATAAAAGTGGTCCTTTTTTATTTCTGAAACGACAGTATTTAAGTAGGCAATGGGATATATATGTCCCACTTTTTTCTATACACTCATAGGGTAGCGGGACACACAAGGGCCGCTTTTTCTCGATAACCCTTAAAAAAAGAGCTCAAGTTTTGTGCATATTATGTGTAGCCGATGCAAACTAGAATGCCACCCACAAGGGTTTATGTGAGTTATTCTTACCATCATGCCTCATAAAGGGTTTAAAGACGTGTTTAAGTGGACGTGCTAGTTATATACGTAAGTGGCGTCCTTTGTAGTACATGTCTAACTTCGCTTTTTTTGTTTCTACATTACAGGCGAAGCTGTTCGCAGCGTACATGTTCGAGCTTTCTAAGCTCCCATAAGGCCGGTGTAGCAACTTCATGAGAAAATCTTCACATGATGTTCGATAAAAGGACCAACGTATACGTGGTGGAAGTCTCGGAGGCATCACCATGGATGGGTAGCCTGAATAAGAGGTCTTAGAACAGCAGCAGTAAGCTACGGACCCTCTTTAGACATACTAGAAGCATAAATTGCGATAGTAACGTAATCTACTTTTTCTTTTATGATTGCGAATAAAATACGTTTATTCGG